CAGTGACAAGATCTAGAACATCTTGAGCACCAAATAGTACACGCATCTGGATCATCCAACGATTCCAGTTTTTACCGTCAAATACTGGAAGTTTGGTGTTCATGTTGCCGTTTCCGTTCATCTTCTTCTTTGCACAATACACTCAGAGTTTTCTCACACAGTGTTTCCCAACCCACAGAATTTTAAAAATTCTGATCAGATTTTGTTCAAGATTCAACGTGAATCTAAGAAATAAAATCAATCACACAAGACCTCACGTTCACTCGTGTTTCCCGTGTTTCCCAATGAATCAGAACCGGAGCTCTAGATACCAATTGTTGGTGCAAAGATAGAATAAATGATGAAATAGGAAATATTCTATTAAAGAGAATGACGGCTACAAAACATGATATTAGGTTACAATGATTGTCACCCTATTTATAAGCTAAAACTAGGGTTACTAGAATAGGATAAATACTAAAATACCCTCTAACAAACTTATGGGCTAAGAAAATAGTACAACTAAATAAATATGAATTATCATTAATATTCTAATATATCTTAGACACCTCAATCAATTTTCATATATAAGATATCTCACATGAAGAAAAATGTATGATTCACATTTATTCTCACTCTTACATCACCTAATCATTTCACGGATAACCTTTAGTTCTTACATCACCTTAGCAACCTTCAATTTAAAATTGGTAGTTTTGTTTACCTTAAAATGTAGTTGTTTGCCCAATGTTATGTCAAACCTCGTGTCCACCATAAGTTAGTCCCAAATTTTTTGCGCTTACCAGTTTTAAGTCCATTAAAATTCCTAATTTTATACTAATTTTATATAAATGAAAAATCAATTTTAGTTTGAAATTTCATATGGAAAGATGATTGATGCATCTTGTTGTGATACTTTCTCTGATCTCTATTGGTCTCTTCTAACTTTTTTGCAAAATATGTCCTTGATATATTAATTCTTCCAGAAGTCTATTTTAATTGTGAATTATTTTAAATCAATTTAGTTTAAAAATATTTATTTAAATCATATATTTAATTGGAGAAGATCTAAATTGAATATGGTTTAAACAAAAGATTTGGATTTGCATTTATTAAAATATATGGAGTTGATTTATTTAGATGATATTTGTATCCTTTTATATTCGATCAAAGATTTGATTGATTAAATGCTTTTTAGTTTAATGGAAATAAGTTTGAATTTGATTTAATAAAGAGTTTATTCTGAATCCTTTACTTGAGCAGTTGAAGTTGTGATTTATATAAGTAAAAAAATTATTTGATATATTTAAGATTCAAAATTTTGTTACGTGGACAGAATATGTCAAGACAAATGTTTTACGATAAGTGGGACGTCTTGTCTCGGGTAGGTTTCTTAGGGAGAAAGATAAATTGAAGTATATCTTGTCCTTTTAAGATTTGTTTTTTGTTCTATTATATCAAAGGTATAAGTGTGATAGCTTGAGTTTGGATTTGAAAAAGATATTGTTTTAGCACGATTCCTTTTGGAGTGCTTATTTTTTCAAAATCAATCAAGGATCTTTATCATCATAATGAAGATTTGATTGATTGTGTGCATTGTTTGGAAGATATGATCTGATTCAAATGCAACAAGATTGATTTTGTCATAATCAAGAGAATAAGTTTAAAAGTGATCAATCAAGATTGGATATCAACATTGAAGATTGATCTTTTGTGCTTTTTGGATTAATGATTTGTTTCCTTATTTATCTTTGAGTTTTTTTTGTTCTTTTCGAAATTAGGAAAGAAATCCTAAAAAGATCAAGAACAAGTTCATATCAGATTGATAGTGATTTAATTTAAGATAAATTACCAATTAAATTAAATCATATCTTGAAGTTACACTTTTGACATTTTTCTTCAGTAGCAAGTTTTGTAAACGTAATATGCGGGTGGAAGTTTTGATATTTAAGGAGTTCATCTTCTATGTGAAGACTTAGACCTGAAGAGAAAATATATACTCATTAGGAGAATTTTGTTTTAGTTGACTTTTTGTTTTTGTTTGTATTTTGTACACTCTATTCATGGGCTTTAAATCTAAGTTAGTTGAATAAGAGTATTGATGTGTAAGGTTGTTATATCATCCATCTTATATTGTTGTAATTGTCCAAATACTTGGGAGAGTGAGAGGGATCTCATATTTAGGGGAAGTCCTTAATAGAAATTCACAGGTAGTATTAGGAAAAAATGCATTGAACTAGGAGGGTTCAACTAAGAGTAGTTTGTACTTTTGATTATTAAGAGTGAATTTTCTTTCTTGAGTTAACGCTCTCCAAACATAATTTTGCACCGAATTCCTTTACCAATTCCGATATTATTTATATTTTGCATTTATTATGTTTGTTACGTGATTATCTTGTCATACACATTGTGTCAGACATTGTGTTTGACATCTTTCCGTCTGAAGAACGGAATTTCAAATGTCACCTCTTGGTTTTCCATTAAATCTGAGATGCACTCGACATAAAAGGTGAATACGAAAAAAGCCCACATACTGCCAATCAGAGACAAGGATTAGGGGACAACTATTCTTGGTCGTCCAAAAGAGCCAGGAGGCCCGACCCAAAGGAAATAATGATTCACCCAATTGCTTGTAGTGTAATGATATTACTCTAAGGAAGAAAGTAGGAGATTCATGTCCAAGATACATCCTACGACTCTCCAAATTTCAAGCCTGGAGAATAGCATGTTCTTATAATCGTTTCTCTATATAAATGGAAAGTGTGTCATTCTCCAGATACATAATTTCAAATTCAAATTCTATTCACTCGTCTCATTCACTATTGAGTTGAGTGTTAGAGTGTTAACCTTATAGATCAACCTCTCCTTCACACTATTAGAATTTCAAGTCTACCATTGCATTTTGCAACCATCGTTCTTCGATTAATTCTGGTTCCAAAACAAAACAATGATAAATGGTAAAAATTATCCTTTTTCAATTTCTTACTATTCATTATTTTTTTTCCCGATATAAATGTCTTTTAAATATATTAAGAATAGTTTCTCAATGTTGTCAGTAAGGCAAGCCGTAATTCAGTGAAATTTTACCTTGGCTGACAACATCAAGGAATTATTACTAACAACAACAACAAAAATAACAACATCTACATCAACAACAACAAGAACAACAACAAATAGAGTTTGGTTTAGGGGAGAAATAAAGTTTGGTTTAGGGAATAAATAGAGAATCGTTAATGGAAGATGAAATTTAATAGTAGAGGATGTATTAGGTTTAAGGTAAAAGTGAAAGAACGTAAGGCTTTATAAACAAAATTAGGTAATGTTTCCCCTCTATTGTTCGAGCTAACCTACACGAAAGATAATTTATTTTAATTAAAAAAAGGAATTCGACACTTATATTCAAAATAAATTACCAAATTGTAGGTGTTGGAGACCAAACCTTGTCACTGAGGGACTATTTCCCTTGGGCTTTATACCAATCGAAAGAATGTGTGATATATTTTTTTTTATTAAAATTTAAAATAAAACAAGGACGTCTTATGGAATAGATTTAGGTGTTAGAAAATTTACTATTTGTTGTAGTGATTAAATTCATAGGCGTAAACATAAAAAGTTTTATTTGGAGTATAAGGTGATAACGAGACTTAGACATAAAGTAATTTTAGTGAATTATTACATATTTTCATGTTGTTGACTAATACTACAATACTTATCTCTTGCCTCACTTGACACGACACCACTATGAATATTAGATGGATTCATGGAATAATACTTTGATTCACGCTCAATTAACATCTAATATTCTAGAACCTTGTTACATGATATACATTATGGTGTTGTTATTTTAACTCATGAGTTATTTTGTTGGTTAATCAAGAATTTATCAAGTTATTTAATCACAATCCTTCTAAGATCGTTATTTTACTTATCACTTACTTCTAATTTGATTATGTATACTTCCATATGTTATTCTAACCAATTAGTTTTTTTTTGTCAGGCACATGTGTTTTTTTTGTCATTCACTTTGTGACCTAATCACATTCTATAGTGTTTTTTCTTTATACATGGTGTACATGTCCCCCATTTTTATTAAAAAATGGTTAAGTTCATAGATCTATTTTAAAAAGAGGTATATATGCCTTTTAACTTTTTTCTTTTTATTCAAAGATTTATCCCATTTAAATAGTAGTGTTTTAAACATTTTTTTAATGTAAAATTTTATAGCGTATTTTAAAAAAGCATTATAAAATGAGGAGTTATCAAAAGTTTAAATTGATATGTTAACAAATGTTCGATACACCCTACTCTTTATAGGATATGGTTGTTAAGAGTTACACATTGATGAAAGATGATCATGACTCATTTTATAAATTAGTTTAGTAAAATTAATTTAGTTTCAATTCAAATTTAATGACAATAATAGAATCTTTCAAGATTTGTTGGATCATCTCTTCATAAATTTATGTTATCCGAATATTTAGATCATGCTTTAGATAAAAAATGCCCACGAGATTAAATAAAAAGTACCCATTGTTTATATTTTATAAATGGGATAGTTGTCACTTTATAATAGTTTTGTAAATCTTGTTTAGCTCAACTCAAATTTTGAGGTGGTTAAAGTTTTGTATATGCCTTAACTCTCTACACATTCACTCGAATAGACATACTTCACCTCTATACTAGTATACTCTCAACTCTATAGCAATCATTATTTTTGGTACTTAAAGGAGATTTTTCTAGTAGTGGTTAGAAATGCAAGTGACTTATCATTAATGTGTATATCCCAAAGTGGATATTAATTCTCGAAGCATACTATCTTAATTGTGTCTATCGCCGCACCTATTGTGAACCGAATAAATCAACGTAGCGGGCATCACCATGCAAATGCCTTAATTTATTTATAAATTTCTAACCAACAAGGTGCTAAGCTATGCTAGCTGTGTTATCGTTAACTACCATGTCTTCCCTCCACACTACATAACTTAGTTGCCAGGGATTAATTTCATGCATCTTTCTCAAACATGGCCATAAAAAAGATGGAACTAACACCAATATTGCTTCTTGCTTTCATTCTTGTGCTAAGTGTTTGTCAAACTTCAGCACATAAATACCAAGAATTCACAGCTACAAATGATGAGCTAGAAGATGAGAGTAGCTTATTGACTTACATTGTTCACGTCAAAAAACCTTCTCTCCAATCTAAGGAGAGTTTGCATGGTTGGTACCATTCACTCTTGCCATCCACTACAATAACTCAGAACCAGAAGCGCATTATTTTTTCATACCAAAACATAGTTGATGGTTTTGCCGTGAAGTTGACTCCGGATGAAGCCAAGGCTTTAGAAGAGAAGGACGAGGTTCTGTCAGCTCGACCGGAGAAAATCCTTTCGTTACACACAACTCATACTCCAAGCTTCTTAGGGTTGCAACAAAGTCAGGAGTTATGGAAGGGTTCTGATCTTGGTAAAGGGATCATAATTGGAATCCTGGACACTGGTATATACCCTTTCCATCCTTCTTTTTCCGATGAAGGAATGTCGTCTCCACCTGCAAAGTGGAATGGCCATTGTGAATTCACAGGGAAGAGGATATGTAACAACAAGATCATTGGAGCGAGGAACTTCATAAAAAATTCATCTCTTCCGTTTGATGACATTGGCCATGGAACTCACACGGCTAGCACAGCCGCGGGAAGGCCAGTGCAAGGTGCCAATGTCTTTGGCAATGCTAATGGCACAGCAACTGGCATGGCACCAGATGCACACTTGGCAATTTACAAAGTATGCAACATCAACGGTTGCACCGAAAGCGCAATACTAGCTGGAATGGACGCTGCAGTTGAGGATGGTGTTGATGTACTTTCACTCTCTCTTGGAATACCTTCCACTCCTTTCTTTGAAGACGGAATCGCACTTGGTGCATTTAGTGCAATTCAAAAGGGAATTTTTGTTAGTTGTTCAGCAGGAAATTCAGGTCCACTGTATGGTACATTGTCCAATGAAGCACCATGGATTCTAACAGTTGGTGCTAGCACAATTGACAGAAAAATAGAAGCATACGCTAAGCTTGGAAATGGAGCGGAATATCTCGGAGAATCAGTTTTCCAACCAAAAGACTTTGCATCAACACTATTGCCACTTGTGTATGCAGGTGCACTTAACACAAGTGATGATTCCATTCTCTTTTGTGGTCCAACTTCCTTGAAGAACATTGATGTCAAAGGAAAGGTAGTTTTGTGTGAGCTAGGTGGTATTGTTGCAAGAATAGCCAAAGGTCAAGCAGTTAAGGATGCTGGTGGTGCTGCCATGATCCTCATGAATAGCGAAAATCACGCTTTCAATCCAATTGCAGATGTTCATGTTCTACCTGCAGTTGATGTAAGTTTCTCAGCTGGTTCATCCATCAAAGATTATATAAACTCAACTTCAACACCAACGGCCACAATTTTATTCCAAGGAACTGTTATTGGAAATCCATTAGCCCCTCAAGTTGCTTCATTCTCATCAAGAGGACCAAGCAAAGCGAGCCCCGGAATTCTGAAACCAGACATAATTGGACCTGGATTGAACATTCTAGCATCATGGCCTGTTTCATTAGACAATAGTACTCAAGGGTTTAACATAATTTCAGGTACCTCCATGTCTTGTCCTCATCTCACCGGCATTGCAGCGCTGTTGAAAAACTCTCATCCAGATTGGTCACCAGCCGCTATAAAATCAGCAATCATGACAACTGCAAATAAGGTTAATCTTCATGGAAAACCTATTTTGGATCAAAGACTTCTACCAGCTGATGTATTTGCGACCGGTGCAGGACATGTTAACCCTTCGAAAGCAAATGATCCAGGACTTGTTTATGACATTGAAACAAATGATTATATTCCTTACTTGTGCGGTTTGAATTACACTGATAAACAAGTTGGACTTATTTTGCAACAGAAAGTGAAATGCTCTGAGGTAAAGAGTATACCACAAGCACAACTTAACTATCCATCGTTTTCGATTCAGCTGGGATCTGCGTCACAGTTTTATACAAGAACACTGACAAATGTTGGACCTGTTAACACAACTTATAATGTGGTAATTGATGTTCCTTTGGCAGTTGGTGTGAGTGTAAGTCCATCTCAAATAACATTCAATGAGGTGAAGCAAAAGGTTACATATTTTGTTGGTTTTATACCTGAAGACAAAGAGAATAGAGGTGATAACATGATTGTTCAAGGGTCTATCAACTGGGTTTCTGGAAAATATTCTGTTAGCATTCCTATATCGGTTGTCTTTATGTGAAAATTTGGAAAAAAATAAACTAATTTCAACATGAGATTATGATGTTAAGGAATAATTATATAGGAACTAAAAAGTTTGCAAACATGCAATGGAATCTCGAGGTTATTTCAACTTCTTCAATGTTAATTTAACCCAAAATCTCTGAATGCTAAAAAATTACAATAAATCTCTTGAATTAGTGAGTCTAAATTTCTCTTTATAATTAAAAAAAAAAACATATCAAACAAAAATAAAACATTCTCTCTTCTGCAAAATTCTATCTATCAAATTTCTATTTAAACTTATAATATTCCTGTACACTTAAAATATCTTATTTCAAACTATAAGTTTATTCGAACCTGCCACAATCTCGTCCTATCCTTAATAGGATTTTATCAAAAAACTACCGACTTCTATTAGTATACGAATAACCACGATCTTCTTTGAGTGCGTGCAGTCCAAAATATATCACAAGTAAATTTTGTATAGAAACTCTTATGTTTGGCAGAACTTGTTTATAAAAAAACTCACATTCATCTCTGTATTAGCGTTGTTTTCTTCATGTGTTGAGGTGTTGTCAATGTGACATTGGTTGCGACCACGTGTACCTCACTGTCCACAATCATGCTTTCTATGTCATCCCTTTTGCTAACTAGACAACTTGAATTCTCGTTAAAAAGTTTTTTTTCTTCAATAATAACATTCTCATTACTCTATGCTCCATATTTTATTTTACTTTTAAATTATAAATTAGTAAAAAAAATTTCATTGTTAAATCGTGATTAAATATGATTTTTATTTATTTCGTCATGATTTAATGACAATTAATTTATACAGGATCTCTAAAAAATTGAGACGACTCTATAAGTAATAATGATGATAATTGATTGATTATTGTTAAATCATGGTTAAATAATGTCTCTATTTATTACATCATGATTAAACGACAATTAATCTATACGGACCTCTCAAAAGTTGAAACAACTTTCCAAATAATCATAATGATAGACCGGATTGATTAAGTATTCTCACTTTCTTCCCTTATCTTATCCGTGTTTTAATGTGGATATAGTTGTTGATAGAATAAATTGTTTTGTAATAATTTATCATTATTATTTACTGATATTTATGTTATACCATAATTAGATTGTTGATCAAACATTACACATTGATGTGTGTTCCTATTCACATAAATGAGAGAAGGGTAAGCATTCTATCATCTAACATGATATCAAAGTCTGGACCATGAGACGTCCACCATTTATATCCATGCACCAAGCTCAAAAGAGTGTCGGGCTTGAGGGGGTGTATTGAGAAAATTTTAAGTTGTACATTGGTTAGAGATATAGCCTTGAAGGATTTATGTAGAGTGACACCCCTCACCTTACAAGCCGATTATGTAAGGATGAGTTAGGCCAAACTTCTAAATGGTATCAACCCTAACCAATCCATTCTATAAAATAAAACATTCTCTTTGCGGCGTAAACCACGTCGTGTCGTCCTCTTAGCTCCACCACACCAGCATCCGCGCGATTCTTCTCTTGCGCTTCAACAGCCACAACGATCTCTCTTTCTCTTTCTATATCTGTCTGTCTGTCTGTCTGTCTGTCTGTCTCTCTCTCTCTAACAATCCTCCGCCGATCACACGTCCTCAGTCCGTGTCTCTCTCCCATACGCAATGTTTGAGTCCGATCACAAGAATAACGACACCAACAACAAAACCACCTCCCTGTTCAATCGTGATACCGACAAGGAGACAACATTTTCTCTCTCATCAGCAGTCACAAAGATGGATTTTCATCCCTATCTTATTGTTTCAAACATCAAGAACCATATTCCTATTGTTCTTGAGTTGGATAAAGATCAATATGGCACAAGGGTCGAGCTCTTCTGCATCAATGCCCGCTCTCATCGGGTTTTACATCATATTGTTCCCTCTACAGACAGGAAACCACTGACAGATACATGTACTGCCGAGTATGAACAGTTGATTAATCTTGACTTTACCGCTCTTTAATGGATATATTCCACAATATCCACTGACATGCTGACCACCATCCTGGAACCAGACTCCACTGCTATGGAAGCTTGGAATCGTCTGGCTGACATTTTTCAGGACAATCAGAATGCTTACGTTGTCACTCTTGAGCAAGAGTTCTCTAACACTCGCATGGAGGATTTTCCCAATGTGTTTGCTTACTGTTAGCGTCTTAAGATGCTCTATGACCAGTTAAGTGAATGTGAGAAAAACACAAGAAGGGGGTGGGGTTGAATTATGTTGGTTTTTCTCAAACCTTTTTAAACTTCTGCTTCTGATTGATCTTAATCAGAGTCTAAACCTTCAGTTCACAGTCTGGACCAAAGTCATTCAGAGTCTGAACTCTCGTATTTCTTTATCAGACTTTGAAATAGAATCTAACTCATATGTAAATAAATGATAGCAGTAGAATATAGTTCATAAGAAAGTAAAGTAAAAGCACAAGAGACACAAGCAGTTATCCTAGTTCCTCCCATAACTGAGAGTACTCCATTCCCCTTCCACTCCAAGAGATTTCCACTATAACAAATCTGATTACAAATGCTCAAGCATACAAGCAAGAGACTTCATTTGCTTACACACACACACACACACACACAAGTGTAAGACTTCCTTGCTCAGACACACAAGTCTGAGACTTCCTTGATCAAGCCCACAAGCTCAAGACTTCCTTAATTTAGCTCACAAGACAATGACTTCCTTTGTCCAAGCACACAGGAAAGAGACTTCAAATGCTTAAGCACACAAGCAAGAGACTTCTAACTCTATAACAAATTATTAAGAGATTTGGGTAAAAACTACATGTGATATACAATCAAAGTTGTAGATAAAATACAACTTAGAAAAACTCAAAGACTTAAGAACATCTAAAATATACAAGTGTTAAGATGTTATATGTTTATTAGATTTTGATAGAGTAACTTCTATTTGAATGTCAATGATCAGAGTCTGAATAAAAGTGTGTTGTATTGAAGCTTTGTAGTCTTCTTCTTTAGCTCTTCTGCTCCTTATATAGAGAGGAACAAAAGAGATGTTGGAGAATTTTACCAAAATGTTAGGCTAGATTTGTACTTGATTAGAAACATCAACAAAGCACCTTTCTGCAAGAGGAATTATCCGTTGAGGCTCAGGCATCCAATAAGATATTTTTCCTTAAGTCTTCATGTGATAAAAAAGTATTTGATTCTGTCAGAGTTGTCTTGGTAGAAAAGCTTCTGCTTCATAGGCTGAATTTTCTTCAAACTTCACTCTTCAGAGGCTGATCACATCAGAGTCTACTTTTTGACTTCTAAAGCTCCAGAGTCTGGGTCACCAGAGACTGACTTTCTCCAGAGTTGATTTCTTTAGATTCTGGATCTCCATCAAAGGCATAGTCTTTAGAGGATCTTCAGATTCAGATTCCTCGAGCATTTCTTCATTTGTTCTTAAGGATTATGTTCCTTCACACTTGAACATATGTTATAATATCCAATTGTTCATTAAGTACTTAGTTATCTTAAAACCCAAGGGATGTGATATAGTCCAAAGGGTGAGATTTGTAAGCTCCCCCTAAGTCCTATCCAGGTTAATTAAATATCTTTTAATTAACATGTTGATTTTAGGATCTGAGGTTTGTAAGCTCCCTGTGAGTTTGATAGTACAGAGGGCGAGATTTGTAAGCTCCCCCTGAGTTTGATAGTCCAAAGGGTGAGGTTTATAAACTCCCACTAAGTCCTATCTATGTTGATTAAGTTCCTTGAAGCACAAAAAACAATTGTTTTGAATTTAAGCATAAATCAATATCAATTAATTAGATTTAGATGCTTAAATACTTATCCTACTTCTCCCTCTTTTGTCATCAACAAAAAGAAAGACAGAAGAAGGAAAAGATACTGAAGAAAAAATATGTGTGGGAAATTAAATTCTGAGTAAAAATAATTTTAAAAAAGCTTTTACGATCCCCTAAAAATTAAAACGCGATTTTCAAAGATTTATAAACACTAACAATATTTGTAATGAAAACAATGTGGGGCTACTATAACACCATCTACTATTATGATATGTTATCTATCTCATCTTTTCACCCTCTCCTTGTAGCTCTCTCTCTCTCCATAATTAATATCACTCAAACCTTCTGAGATGAGTCTTGGAGCTCACCAAATATAGAATAAATCTCATGTTCAAAGATAATCTATCTGTAAGATTTTCCAAATTACAGCAGAATTGGAGCTATTGTTCTTATGAAATATGAGTATTTTTTGTTTTATCATTGCTATCTAGCACTGGTGTGAAAAACATTAATTATGGGTTATAGTTATATGCTTTGAATCTCTTCTACCTAAATATTAAAATTTTATATCAAATCAAACATTAATAAGTACACAGCAAATGATAAATTAGCCGATGAATAAGATCTACATACTTTGTGAGTAGAACTTGTTCAAATAACACTTTGAGAAATTCAAGTCCACGTTTAATTTTCAAAAGATTTCTGGAATGGCTTCCATGTATTCTCACAGTATTAGTTTGTACATCATGATCAACCATAGGTTGTAATGTTTTGAAAGACTTTGATGCCTCTGCTATGTCATTGACATGTTATTAATTATTATCCATGTTTATTTGTTAGTATTTGATGCCAGTTTTTGTGTAAGTGTTTCACAGGTTTGTGGATCAACAAATGAGATCACATATATGTTACTAATAATAAATTAGCTTATTGGTCACTTACCTTGATGAGGTAATCCATATCAATGAACTTGAAGTGAAAGCCAATGCTGCTAAAAAAGGAGCCACAAAAGCACATGTGCGAGAAAAAGCAACAACCTCAATCACATTTTCGGAGACGATAACGTCTGCGAGCTCTTTGAACGCATCTGTAATGAAAACCTTTGAGTGATATTAATTATGTATAGAGAGCGCTATAGGAAAAGGGTGAAAAGATAAGATAGATAATATAGCATAATAGTAGATGGTGTTATAGTAGTCCCACATTGTTTTTATT